GAGGTGGAGGTTACAGTGAGCCAAGATTGTCTCACTGCACTCCAGCCTGGACAACAGAGCAAGACTCCACCTCAGAAAAAAAAAAACCTAACTTACCCTTTCTCAATTTAAAAGCAAAAAATAGACACGTATTTGTATAGGCTGCCTAAGTTTTTTTTTTTTTTTTTTTTAATTTTAAATTTGTCTGGGTATATAGTGTGTGTATATATATATATATATATATATATATATATATATAAATTTGTCTGGGTGTATTTTGTATATATATATAAAATCAGCATTGTGTACTTATGAATTATTTTCATTATCTGCATCTAATAAAGGATATCTATTCAATATGTACAATCTAGAAGAACAAACAGTGGTAGAGCCTGCTTTGAGCAAACTCCATTGATTTTATTTTTAAGAGAGATAATTTACTTTATAATTCCTCACTGGATTTCTTTAAATAGCAAGATTTTTCAGGCTATTTTAAAATTTCAGGTTACTCAGATTTAACTTTGACACATCTTTCCAGGATTATGTTGCATAAAAGGTCCTTGTCACTTTATTTCCATTTATTAGTGTACTGCAGAAAGTACCAGCAGTTGGCTCTACAAGTACAAATTCTATATACATCAAGTTTCTACACTTTCAAAAATTATTAATCAGTATATTATTAATAATGTTAATTATAGCAGCACAGTGTTAATAATATATATTCTGTCCGGGCACGGTGGCTCATGCCTGTAATCCCAGCACTTTGGGGGGCTGAGGTGGGTGGATCACCTGAGGATGGGAGTTCGAGACCAGCCTGACCAACACTGAGAAACACCATCTCTACCAAAAATACAAAATTAGCCAGGTGTGGTGGCACATGCCTATAATCCCAGCTACTGGGAAAGCTGAGGCAGGAGAATCACTTAAACCCAGGAGGTGGAGGTTGCGGTGAGCCAAGATCGCGCCACTGCACTCCAGCCTGGGCAAAAAGAGCAAAACTCCGTCCGTCTCTGTATGTATGTATATGTACGTATATATGTATATACGTACGTATGTGTATATATATATGTATATACATATATATGTATATATGTATGTATACAGATACATATATATACACATATATACATACATATATATATATATATGTATATATATATATACACACACACATACAAACACACAGACACATACCCCCCAGTAGCTTTCTCCCCAGAATCCCCAACATGGTGACAAAAGTACTATTAACAAAATTGGGATGGTTGACACTCTGCTAAGCGGCAAAAAAAAATAAATTTTAAAAATTGCCATTTAAAAAAAGTTTTATTATTATTATTTTTTTAGAGACAGTATCTCACTCTGTCACTCAGGCTGGAGTGCAGTTGTATAATCATAACTCCAGCCTCTGTGACAGATGATAGAAGGAGAACTATAAGGGTGAGTGAAATAAAAACAGGAACTAAAAGAACGTGGGGATTCTAATTTTGAAGAACTATGTTAAAAGACTGGAGTGTAATGATGCAATCTTGGCTAACTGCAACCTTCACCTCCCAGGTTCAAGCAATTCTCCTGCCTCAGCCTCCTGAATAGCTAAGACTACAGGTGCCCACCACCATGCCTGGCTACCTTTTTATATTTTCAGTAGAGACAGGGTTTCACCATGTTGGCCAGGCTGCTCTTGAACTCCTGACCTCAAATGATCCATCCACCTCTGCCTCCCAAAGTGCTGGGGTTACAGGCATGAACCACTGCACCCGACCAGATGGCTGTAGTTTTTTAAGACAGTTCTTAACCTTGACACATTAAAAATTGGAGATCTTATGTCTGGTCCCAATTGTCCCCAATACATACAGTTTTTTACTTGTCCTTGAAGTCCAAAAGTCTGGAAACCATTGACTTAGATGTCTCATTTTTCTCACCAATGAAGTGGGGAAGGGGAAATTTGCAGAATTCTGTGTAGTAATGTTGATATATACATATTATAAATAGTATCGAGCCTTTAGAGTTTTATAATAGCATCACCATAAAAAGCTTGACTAATTGACTTGAAAGTTTGCTTAATAAAACCGATATCAAATAGTATAGCAGAATGGTCAAAGGGTGAGTTCTGGAGTCAAACTTCCTGGATTTAAATCCTGTGGCTAAGACCTGTAATCCCCAGCACTTTGGGAGGCCGAGGAGGGAGGGCAAGCTGCTTGAGCTCAAGAGTTCCAGATCAACCTGGGCAACATGGCAAAATCACAACTCAACAAAAAATTTTAAAATTAGCGTGGGGTAGTGGCACGCGCCTGCAGTCCTGGCTACTTCAGAGGCTGAGGCAGAAGGATGGCTTGAGCATGGGATGTTGAGGTTGCAGTGAGCCATGATAGTACCACTGCACTTCAGCCTAGGTAAGACTGAGACCCTGTCACAAAAACAAAAATGAAAACAAAACAAAACAAAATAAATCCTGGCTTTGCCATTTGCTAGCTCTGTGATGCTGAGTAAGTCACAACCTTCCCGATTTGCAGTCTTCTCATCAGTCAAATGCAAATGTTAAACCACAAGACCTATTTAATAGGCTTAAGATTTAAATTAGATAATCAATTTTAAGATGCTTATCACAGTGCCCTCTAGGTGCTCTAGAAGTGCTAGTTATCATAAGCATTACTATTAGTAATTATAAACTAAAATGGTCACAAGGTGCCTTCTAAATGCCTGCTAGTTTCTGCATCAACATATTTTAATGATGAAATTAACATAAGAGGCTATAAGGATAATGATGATTAATATTTATTTAAAATATTACAAATCTGCCAGGCCCGGTGGCTCATGCCTGTAGCCCAGCACTTTGGGAGGCAAAGGTGGGCAGATTTGAGGTTGGGAGTTCGAGACCAACCTGACCCACATGGAGAAACACCGTCGTCGCTACTAAAAACACAAAATTAGCTGGGCATGGTGGCACATGCCTATGATCCTAGCTACTCAGAAAGCTGAGGCAGGAAAACTGCTTGAACCCAGGAGGTGGAGGTTACCGTGAGCCAGGATCAGCACCACTGCACTCCAGCCTGGGCAACAAAAGCTAAACTGTCTCAAAAAAAAAAATTTTTTTTTAATCAAATTGCTAGATCAAGAATGAGCATTTGGATGGCATAAAGATACAGGTAACATCAAATGTCATCTTCAACAAGTATATACAGAATCAACATATTTTTCATCACTTTTGAAATTTGTACATATTGATCAAAGGAGGTATCATATGCAGCCATAAAGTCAAAATGGTAACTTTCGAATAAAATAGTTAACTTCTAATAAAAGTTATCTTTTTATAAAGTCAATGTAACTCATTTGGTGTGAATTTTGTCCTCTATCACTAATCCTTAGTAAATACAGGTTTTTAACGTTATTTGTGTTTTAAAATATAGCTAGTTTGGGGGACACAGTGGTTCACTGAGCCTGTAATCCCAACATTTTGGGAGGCCAAAGCAGGTGAATCACCTAAGGTCAGGAGTTCGAGACCAGCCTGACAAACAGGCTAAAACCCCATCTCTACTAAAAATAAAAAAAATTAGGAAGGCGTGGTGGTGGGCCCTGTAGTCCCTGCTACTCAGGAGGCTGAAACAGGAGAATAGTTTGAACGTGGGAGGCAGAGGTTGCAGTGAGCCGAGATCGCCGTTGCACTCCAGCCTGGGCAACAACAGCAAAACTCCATCTTAAAGAAAATAAAATATGTCTAGTTTGTCAGAAATTCACCAAAATAAATCAGAATTTTAAACTTAATATACAAAGCATACATATATAGCTGGAAGTTTTTAATTTTACAAAATAAGTTTCCAAATAGTAAATGTGTTTTCTTCTTTATGAATATTTTGTGTTTTCACAAATATATTAAAAGACAAAAACATAAACACCCTCTAAGGGTGTCACATAAGCAGCTCTTCTCAGGAATAGCTATTAAGCAGCAATACATTATTCTCAAGAGAATATATTTCTACAGAAGCCTAGCCCAACATTTCCTATTAATGCATGATAAAGTCTTATTAGGAGCCGGGTGCTGTCGCTCACGCCTGTAATCCCAGCACTCTGGAAGGTCAAGGTGGGTAGATCACTTGAGGTCAGGAGTTCGAGACCTGCGTGGCCAACATGGTGAAACCCTGTCCCTATTAAAAATATAAAAATTAGCTGACCTCAGGTGATCCACCCGCATTGGCCTTCCAAAGTGCTGGGATTACAGATCACAGCCACTGAGTCCAGCTTATAGGTATGTTTTTAAAAAAACAACTGTTTCTTTCATCTAACTGAGTACCTGTAAATTGAAAATCAAAATTACAGATACATCACAATTAGCTTAACAACATGCGGGAGTGGGGTTGCAGGATGCACCTATTAAGTTAGACCACTTGAGTTTGAATCTAGGCTTTGTCACTTTAAAACTGTGATCTTGGGCAAGTTACTTAACTGTCCTAAACCTTAGATTCCTAGTTTGTAAACTGGAGACAGCAACAGTATCCAAACTTAAAAGGTTATTTTGAGATAATCCGTGTAGAAACTAGCGCTCTGCCTGTCACTAGCAATTAATATGTGCTTCTATTGTTATCGTTATCAATTGCAACACTAACAGAAATAGCAATGGTATTAACCGCTTTGCTTAGAGGTGATGGCCACAAGCATTAGGAAGATAAATCCACAGAAAGGAGATGATAAAACGTCTTTGTAAGGAAGCACTTCTGTTGAGGGCTGTAATTTGATCACTCTTATCACCACAAGCAACATGTATTTTCTAGAATTATCTCCGGAACCAAAAAAGAAAGTCGAAACCTAGGACCACCTTAGGTAATACCACCTGCAGAAAGTTATCGCCAGCGTTTAAGAAACACCTGCCAATCCCGGTCCACAGACGGCATTTCATTTGAATGGACGGAACCGGTCCAATCTTAGATCTCTCCAGCCCGGAGCAAGTCTTTTTTTAAAGGGAGGAGCCACACACACAGCCTAACTCCTGCCGCTAACCCAGCCCGGGTGAATACAGGAGACAGACGTACCAGGGGGTTCTGGCCACGAAAGTCCTACTGTGCGGGGGGGCAGAAGCAGCGAGAAAGATGTCGGCGTTTGGGAAGCCCAGGGCCTCGCTCCCGGGCGGAAGGGGGGCGCTCCGGCACCGGCGGGCGGAGGAACCGGGAAATCGCGCCGCGGCCGCTGGAACCCCGAGTCGCCGCGACGCAGCCGGTCCCTCGCCCTCAGCGCGGACTCCGCGGGCCTCCTTCCCTCCCCGAGCCCCCACTGCCAGGCCAGGACCGGCGCGGGCCGCACGCGCGGAGGCAGGAAGCCGGGCCGGGGAAGGCCGGCGCCAGCTCCCCTCCCGGACCCGCGCCCGGGCCCCGCCGCTCCGGGCCTTACCAGAGGTCTCGCGCCGCGACAGGTGGTGCTGCTGGCGGAGAGGCCGCGCCCTACAGCCCGCCCTGGCGATGCTCAGCTCCCGCGCCGCCCGGCCCTCCCCTTCTGCGAGCCTTCCGGAGCCGGCGCCAGCTCAGGCTCGCACGGGCCGCCCCACAAGCGGAGGCAGCCTGGAGGGCGGCCGGGTGAGGGTAGGGCGCGAGGAGCCGGGATGGACTGGGGCCGGGCGGGCGCGGCCCACGGCGGAGACGGACCGGCGCGGGGGCCAATGGGAGGCAGGAACAGGCCGGAGGGGCGGGCTCCGCCTGGAGGCTTAGCGGCTGGCGTCGGGATTCCTCCCTTTCGCGCCTCCCTCAGCCCGGCTCCTGGAGGCTACCGCGCTGAGACGGGATGGGCGCCCTCGTGGACGCGATGCTGAGGGTGTGAAAACTGCGGTGCAGAGGAGGAGGAGCTCCGCCGCGGCCTGAAGGAAGCCGGGACTGGCCGACCGCGCCCCCCCGCACTCCCGGCCCAGGGGTCCCAGTCTCCGAACCCGCGGAGGCCAGGAAAGCTGGGAACTGGGGTCCGTCCTGTCTGAGCCACAGAGGAACGGGGAGGACGGAGGGCAGGGGGCCGCAAAGGAAGGAGGAAGAGGACTCAGGAAATCCGAGGCTTCCGCACTTCAGCGACGCTTTCAGTTTCCGAGCTGTTTTGTGTGCGCAGGACTTAGTCTTCTGCAGAATTCTTCGCCAGTCCTCGTGGCTGCTGGCACGGTTATTGGCCTGCGGGGACTTTACCAATCACCTGCACCGTCACAGTCCCCATAAATAGATGTTCAATGTTCTGTCTCGGAGAAGCACCGGAACGCTTAATTGCCTTGTCCTTGAAAGCAGCAGGGACCGTGCCTTCCTAAATCCCTACCCCGCACCCCCCACCCCCACGGTTGTGACATGGGCGGATATTTACTCTCCCTTATTTCAGAAAATGTTATCACCAAAAATTATTTACTGTAATGAGTTTGTGTACTCTTAAGGCATGGTCATGGCAATATCAAAATAAGATATAAAAGATAAAAAAGACGGGCAGAATAAAATGAAAAGTGATGGAAATGTAGACTTGAGAGGATGGAGTGGAAGTAGCGAAGGGTGAATTGCTCCCTCCTAAACTCTTGACAATTACGTAAAATCTGGGGCAACCGCCCCTCTCTGAACGTTAAAGGGTGTGGCAGGTGATAACCCATAGGTGCGGTTGCTATAATAACCACCGCAGGAAAAGAGAGGTTATAAATATGCATGGCCTAAAGTAACCCTGCTTGCCGGAAATTTACAAGAGGCAGCAAGTTGGATGAAGGAAGCGAAACATTACAAGTGTCTTTCTATATAAGCACTTCATTAGTAGAGGTGAAATCCTTTCGTCTTTGAAAGACAGTTGTGGGGTTGTAGGGGGTGGAAAGGGAATGGGGAGATGTTAGTCAAAGGGCAAAAAGTTTCAGTTAGGAGTAAGTTTTAGAAATACCACACAGCATGGTGACTATAGTTCATAATGTATATTCACAATGGCTAAAAGAGTAGACTCAAAGTATTCTCATCAAAAAGAAGTATGTGAGATGATGGATATGTTGGCCTAATTTGATCATTCCACAATATATTGAAACATTGCATTGTATCCCATTGCATATAGGATACACATTTTTTTTTCTTTTGAGATGGAGTCTGGCTCTGTTGCCCAGGCTGAAGTGCAGTGGCATGATCTTGACTTACTGCAACCTGCGCCTTGTGGGTTCCGGTAATTCTCCTGACTCAGCCTCCGGAGTAGCTGGGATTACAGGTGCCTGCCACCATGCCCGGCTAGTTTTTGTATTTTTAGTAGAGATGGGGTTTCTCGCCATGTTGCCCAAGCTGGTCTCGAACTTCTGGCCTCCTCTGCCCGCTTCGGACTCCCAAAGTGCTGGGATTACAGGCATGAGTCACCCGTGCCCAACCGTAAGTATATAGAGTTATTGTTTGTCAGTTTAAAAAATTTAAAGACAGTTTGCCCTACATTTGAATAATCCCAGGTTGAAGGTTGTAGAGAGCTGTCATGGAGGGAACTTATTTTGCTTAAATTGAAGTCAATTCATTCCTTATTAAATACCTGCTACTGTCAAGGAAGTAGACACTGCTGTTTTCTGGTCTGCTCTGACAACAGATTCTTTGGCTCACGCCTGCAATCCCAGCACTTTGGGAGGCCAAGATGGGCCGATCACCTGAGGTTAGGAGTTCAAGACCAGGCTGACCAACATGAAGAAACCCCGTCTCTCCTTAAAAAAAAAAAAAAAAAAAAAAAAATTACCCAGGGATGGTGGCACATACCTATAATCCCAGCTACTTGGGAAGCTGAGGCAGGAGAATCACTTGAACTGGGGAGGTGGAGGTTGCGTGAACAAAGATCGCACCATTGCACTCACTCCAGCCTGGGCAACAAGAGTAAAACTCCATCAAAACAAAACAAAACAAATTCGTTAGCCTTAGCCACTTCCAGTGATTGGTCAAAGACTTTCTTTCTTTTTTTTTTTGAGACAGAGTCTTACTCTGGTTGGACTGCAGGTTGGAGTGCAGTGGCACCATCTCAACTCACTGCAACCTCTACCTCCTGAATTCAAGGGATTCTCCTGCCTCTGCCTCCTGAGTAGCTGGGATTACAGACGTGCATCACCACGCCCACCTAATTTTTGTATTTTTTAGTAGAGACAGGGTTTCGCTATGTTGGTCAGGTTGATCTAGAACTCTTAACCTTGTGATCCACCCACCTCAGCCCCTCTAAGTGCTGGGATTACAGGTGTGAGCCACCGTGCCCAGCTGGTCAAAGACTTTCTAGTGAAAACAGAACTAGCTTTTTCTGCTGCTGTGCACACAGTCACCACAGAATACAATACTTCGCCTCTAGTCACCAAAATGTGTGCCGGTTGCTCATCACCAACAACCAATTCTTCAGCTGTGACCTGCTGGGGGTCCTATAATTTAACTCAATTCTGATCCTATCTACCAGGAGATAGCGTCACATCGCACAGGTTGAAGGCTCAGTCTCACAAGACTGCCCTCCACTTCAGATGCCAGTCACAAGCCCCAGGTTGCCATTAGCCCATCACTGAGTTGTATTAATTTGCTAGGATGGCTCACAAAACTCAAGGAAACACTTTACGTACACTATAAAGGATGTCATAAAGGACTAAACAGCCAGATGGAAGAGATGCATAGGGAATAGTGGCAAGGGACGTGGAACTTCCACACCCTCTCTTGACTTATCACCCTCCAAATGCCTTCACGTGTTCAGCAATCAGGAACCCTGTCCTTCTGGAGTTTTATGGAGGCTTCCTTACATAGGCATGATTGATTACATCATTGGCCATTGGAGAGCAACTCAACCCCTCTTCCTTCCCCGAAGGTCAGGGGGCAGGGGATGGAGCTAAAAATTCCAGTCCTCTAATCACATGGTTGGTTCCCTTGGCAACCAACCCCCATCCTGAAGCTATCTAGGAGCCCACCAAGAGTTGCCTCATTAGAACAGAAGATGTTCCTGTCACTCAGGAAATTCCAAGGGATTTAGAAGCTGTTTCTCAGGAACCAGGACAGAGCCCAAATACACATTCCTATTCTATCACAATGTCACAGGGTTCTTTTCCTATACAATATAGTGACATATGGCTATTGAGTATTTGCAATGGGGCTATTTTAAGTTGAGATATACATTGGATTTACAGACAGTGCAAAAAAATGTAAAGAATGGAAATATCTTGATTTTTAAAATATTGATCACATGTTGAAATAATATTCTGGATATTTTGGGTTCATGCAATATATTATTAAAGTTACCTTTTAAATATCTTCTTACTTTTTATGTGTGGCTACAGAAAATTTAAAATTATACAATGTAGTTCCAATTTGTGGCTTGCATTATATTTCAGTTGGACCATGCTGTTCTAAGGTGACCCTGTTAGAAACACATACAAGGAAGCTGATGGCTAGGGCATATTCTAAGGGTGTCAGAAGAATAGAAGAGCCTGGGTTCTTCTCCAGCACATACACATGCATACTGGAAAAGTTAATATAGCAACCTAACATGTTCCTTTCATGTAATATCTACTGAGTGACATTACATTTTTGGGGCTCTGAGCAGTGAAAGTGCAGGAAAAAGACACATGTAATTGGAAAACATGAGTAATCATTAATGGAAACATAATGTCTAAAAACTTCTGAAGTTTCCCTCTGCTGGTTTCTACGGGCAAGAATTAGACTGGCAGATATAACGCCTTGGTTAAATAAAGTGGTCATTACTCTGCAACTAGTTGTGAATTTTCTATGATTGACAACAGATGGGTGGAAAGTCATTCACATACTTTGAACATAATACGCATCTTAAACTTTGAAAACTACTGTGCTTTCTTGAATTTACCTTTTGTCCCCTACCTGTCTAGCATTCTTGCTTAAATTGAGCTATTTCATCTTTAAATTATGCTATTTTGGGCTGGGCAAGGTGGCTCACTCCTGTAATCTCAGCACTTTAGGAAGTGGGCAGATTGCTTGAGCGCAGGAGTTCGGGATCAGCCTGGGCGATATGGTGAAATCTAATCTCTACACAAAAAAAAAAAAAAAAAAAAAAAAAAAAAAAAAAAAAATTAGGCCTGATGGTGCATGCCTGTAGTCCTAGCTACTTGAGAGGCTGAGGTGGGAGATTACTTGAGCCCAGGAGGTGGTGGTTGCACTGAGCTGAGATTGCATCACTGCACTCCAGCCTGGGTGACAACATGAGACCCTGTGTCAAAAACAAAACAAAACAAAACAAAAATACTGGACATGGTGGCTCACGCCTATAATCCTAGTACTTTGGGAGGCTGAGGCGAGTGGATTGCCTAAGCTCAGGAATTCAAGATCAGCTTGGACAACATGGTGAAACCCCATCTCTACTAAAACACACACACACACAAAAAAATTAGCCGAGCGTGGTGGTGTGTGCCTGTAATCCCAGCTACTTGGGAGGCTGAAGTGAGAGAATTGCTTGAACCTGGGAGGTGGAGGCTGCAGTGAGAAAAGATTGCACCACTGTACTCCAGCCTGACAGAGTGAGACTGTTTCAAAAAAAAAAAAAAAAAAGTGTTACTTTGATCCAGTAATAGTTATAGTGAGACACTAAGATGTTTCACTAGTTAATGCTTAAAAGCACAAGGGGAATTATATACATCCCTAGGTCTCCAGAAATAATGTAAGTGTGTAGTTATTTTTCAAGTATAGAATTTTTAAAAAATGAATATGAAGGTCTAATATCTCATACAGTAGGTCGGGGCACACAGAACCAAAACAGTATTATGATTATCCTTACTACTATTGCTACTATTCTACTACTAGTAGTTTGTACTTGACATCCTCGGCCGGGCGCAGTGGCTCAAGCCTGTAATCCCAGCACTTTGGGAGGCCGAGGCGGGTGGATCACGAGGTCGAGAGATCGAGACCATCCTGGTCAACAAGGTGAAACCCCGTCTCTACTAAAAATACAAAAAGTTAGCTGGGCATGGTGGTGCGTGCCTGTAATCCCAGCTACTTAGGAGGCTGAGGCAGGAGAATTGCCTGAGCCCAGGAGGCGGAGGTTGCGGTGAGCCGAGATCGCGCCATTGCACTCCAGCCTGGGTAACAAGAGCGAAACTCCGTCTCAAAAAAAAAAAAAAAAAAAGACATCCTCAAT